AGCGCCCTGCTTACCTGTGCCCCCACAGGCTCTGCCCCCTGTGTGCTCCCTGCTGCCCCCGTCTGTCCTCTGCCCACCTGTATCTGCACCAACCTCTCGTGTGCCCCTAGTGCTCTGCTTACCTGTGCCCCTGACAGCTCCCTGCCCACCTGTATCCCCACCTGCCCCTCGTGTTGCCCTTGCCCACCTGTATCCCCACCTTCCCCCAGTGGCCTGCTTACCTGTGCCCATGACAGGCCCCACCCCTCCCGTGTTCTCCCTGCTCACTTGTATCCCCTGCTGCCCCTGTGTGTCCTCTGCCTCCTGTGTGCCCCTAATGCCCTGCTTACCTGTGCCCCTGACAGCCCCTGCCCACCTGGCTCCCTTGTGTGCCCTCTGCTCTCCGTATGCCCCTAGTGCCTGGCTTACCTGCACCCCCCCCCATGTACTCCCTGCCCCCCGTGTGCCTCCTGTTTCCTGACAGCTCCTGCCCTTATGTACTCACTGCCCACCCTTGTGCCCCCAACACCCTGCTTACCTATGCCAATGTCAGTCCCTGCCCCCTGTATCCCTTTCCCCCTCATGTGCTGCTAGCTTATCTGTGCCCCTGACATCCCCCCATGAGCCTCCTGCACACTTGTACCTTCTGCCCCCTGTGAACCCCCAACAGCTCCTGTCTCTGTGTACCCCCTGCCCACCTGTACCCCCCTGTGCTTCCTGCCCGCAGGTTGCCCCTAGCTGCCTGCATACCTGTGCCCCTGTCAACCCCTACCCCGTGTATCTCCAGCCCTCATGCACACCTGTGCCCCCCATAGACCCACAGCACACCTATACCCCCAATAGCTTCCATGTGCCCGACAGCTTGTGCCCCCAGCCCACCTATATTCCCTACAACTAGGGTTGCCAAGCCTCCAGTATTGTCCTGGAGTCTCCAGGAATTCTTTAATTAAAGATTGTCTTGTGATGAAACCTCCAGGAATACATCCAACCAGGCAACGGTACCTAAAGTCCTTGCTTCCTCCACCCTTCTACACCCCCATGTGACCCCAGCTGCCTCTGCCCACTACACCCCCAACAGTCCCTGCTCCCCATGTGTCCCCAAGGCCCATAACCCCGTATCCCCCGCCTTCCACTGCCCCCACACCACTATAACCTCCAAGAGTTTCTACTCTGTATGCCCCTAGCCTCATCTGCCTCCTACACCTCCATACCATTCCCAAGAGCCCCATCACTCTCTATATCCCAGCCTCCCCTGTTTCCTACACCCTCTAGACTAGGGGTAGGCAACCTATGGCATGCATGCCAAAGGCGGCACGCGAGCTGATTTTCAGTGGCACTCACACTGCCCGGGTCTGGGGGGCTCTGCATTTTAATTTAATTTTAAATGAAGCTTATTAAACATTTTAAAAACCTTATTTACTTTACATCCAACAATAGTTTAGTTATATATTATAGACTTCCAGAAAGAGACCTTCTAAAAACATTAAAATGTATTACTGGCACGCGAAACCTTAAATTAGAGTGAATAAATGAAGACCCGGCACATCACTTCTGAAAGGTTGCCAACCTCTGCTCTAGACCACAATGCTCTCTATACCCCCTGGGTACGCCAGCCTCCTCTGCATCCTATACTACATGGGAATCCCTACCCCCTGTGTACCCCAACTTCTCCTGACCCCTATACCCGATACCCTCTGAGAGCCTCTACCCCATCTATACCCTTATCCTCCTCTGACTCTACATCCCCATGCCTTCCTGAGAGCCCCAGCCAGGGGCGGCGAGTTATATGGGACTGTGGTGCCCATGCTCCAGGAATATTCAGAGCCCTGGGGGCCTGGCTTCACCAATGTTTGGTGCTGGGTCTTTTCCCCCAGCCCTGTGTGCCTCCCCCAGAGCATCTCCCGGTCCCACCTGCCGCCCCTGAGTGATTTAAAAGGGCTGGGGACCCCTGGCTGCCCCCCACCTAGGAGCCACTGCCAGAGGGTGTGCAGGTCTCTTTTGGGAGCCGCCTGAGGTAAGCGCTGCACCCCTGCCCCAGCCCAGAGCCTGCACCCAAACTCCTTCCCAGAGTCCGACCCCCATCCCTCCTGCACCCAAACTCCCTTCCAAATCTCGAACCCCCTCCTATACCCAAACGCCCTCCGAGCCCGCACTTCTCCTGCACCCCAATCCACTGCCCCAGCCCAGAGCCCGCACCCTTCCCGCACCCAAACTCTCTCCCAGAGAACTCCCTCCCAGAGCTTTAGGTAGGTGTGTGGGGGCGGGACTTGGACCAGTTCTGGGCACCACAAAAAATTGTACAAACCTACCTCCCCTGGCCCCAGCACCTCTGTATATCCCCTGAGAGCTCCTACACCCATCCATATCTTTAGCTTCCTGCTCCCCTATAGCCCTCTATTCTGCTCTAGGGCTTCTAGACCGGGGTGGGCAAACTTTTTGGCCCGAGGGTCCATCTGGGTATGGAAATTGTATGGCGGGCCATGGATGCTCATGGTTCCCGGCCAATGGGAGCTGTGGGGGCGGCGCTTGGGGCAGGGGTAGCATGTGGAGCCCTCTGGCTGCCACTACACATAGGAGCCAAGGGGGGACATGCTGCTGCTTCTGGGAGCCACACGGAGCCCCGGCACGTGCAGAGCAGGGCAAGCCCCCGACCCTACTCCCCGGCTGGAGCTCAAGAGCCGGATTAAAACATCTGAAGGGCCGAATGCAGCCTCTGGGCTGTAGTTTGCCCACCCCTGTTCTAGACCCTTGATCCACACTCCTCTACACACCCAAGAGCCAATACACCCTGCCCCTTCTCTACTCCTGGCCCCCCACTCTATACCATACTGAGCTTCCCCTATACCCCAGCACCTCTTTATACCTCCC